GTATGGAAGATAGCAAAGTGTTTTCAAGCAGTGGTTCCCTCTGTTCATAATGTAATTAAGAAATTGCAGTTAACAGGAATGGTGGAAGTCATGTTGAGGTAGGGAAGACCGAGAACTTTCGAAGAGAGCTGCTCATAGGATTGCTAGAAAGGCAAATTAAAATCACTGTTTGACTGCAAAAGATCTTCAGGAAGATTTAGCAGACTCTGCAGTGCACTGATCTACTGTACAGCGACACCTGCACAAATATGACCTTTTATGGAAGTCATCAGAAGTAAACGTGCATCCTCACCGCAAAATTCTGCGTCAGAAGTTTGCAGATGATCATCTAATCAAATCTGATGCATTTTGGAAACGCGTCCTGTGGACTGAAGAAGTTAACGTAGAACTTTTTGGTCACAATGCACAAAGGTATGTTTGGAGAATAAAGGGTGCAGAATCTCATGAAAAGAACGTCTCCAGCTGTTAAGCATGGGGTTGGATCCATTTCTGTTTTGAGGTTGTGTGGCAGCTAGTGGCCAGCAAAATACCAGCAAATTGTAGAAGCAAATATCACACTGTCTGTAAAAACGCTCAAGATGAAGAGGCTGGCCTCTGCAACAGGATAATGATCCTTAACACGCCTCAGAATCCACGGTGGGCTTCCTGGAAAGGTGCAAGCTGAAGGTTTTGACATAGCCCTCGCAGTCCCCCAACATAAACGCCGAAAATCTGTGGATAGACCTCAGCAGTGCAGTGCATGCAAGACGGCCCAAGGATCTGATAGGCCTCGAAGCCTTTTGCAAGGAAGAATGGGTAAAAATCTCCCAAAACAAGAATTGAAGGACTTTTAGCTGGTTACAAAGTGTTTAAAGCTGTGATACATGCCAGGCGGGGTGTTAGTAAGTACTGATCATGGGGTCTTTTCCTTTTTTGTTCTGAAACTATAAAAGATTGGAAATTGTAATTTTGCTTAATATTATAGAAATGTCATCTTTGATGTCTTGGAAATCCGTTTACTTGCTTGACTAATCACAGTAATGGAAATTTTGACCAGGTGTGTCCAAACGTTTGCATACCCAACAGTCTTAGTGCATGTCCAGGATTTTCATTGGAATGTTGCATATGTTTTTGAGTTTTGGCAATATCTAAGATGAATTTAAATGTGTGTGGCAGTGCACGTTCTGCGTTTATGATACGAATATGCAAATGAACAGAACGTGTTGGTACTGCCACACTGGTGGCACTGACCTGTTGTTCACAGTCCCTTGACGGTAAGCCAATCAAAGTGGCACAAGCAACGAAACCGCAGTTTGAGTCAGGGCTGCGCCGTGGCTACGGCTTCAGAGGAGCCCATGGAGGCCCCCCGGCGATGAGGGCCCCCCCCCCGAGAGGTAACACCCTGCTGCTCATTCTCCGCTTATGCAATTCTAGCACGAGTTGGGCACCGTCGTCTTTGAGATGTTGCATTACGTAGGCTGGCATCGGTCCCCCTTATCGCTGTTGCAGCCACTGTCCTGCATGTCTGAAGAGATGATATGGTGATATCCTGCTTTTTTTCCTGTAGTTTTTCATTACCCATAAGTTTGGGAAAACACTGCTTGCCTCGTGGTCCTCCCCCTGTAAAACAAGTCCTTCACCGTGATGGTGCCATTAGCTGTCCTTGTGTCTCAGTGGTGCTGCACTGGCATGCTGGCACAGTGCGGTAGTGAGCGGCTGCTTAAAGATTAACAGAGAGCTTTCTTCATTTAATCCAGTGGTTGTACAGTTCATCTTTCCATTGGCGTTCTCACTTACTGAATGTGCTGCTTCTTGGACTATGATAATTATAGACCCTCTTTGTATCTTTTTTTTATTTTTAAAGGGTTACCCTCTCGAGAACCTCTAACACTAAAGAGAAGTTCCCCAATTCGGAATGGAGGTCCCCCACCCAAACGAATGGCATTCTCAGGACCAATGAGCAGGCGTAAGTGGCACTTTGTGCCTCCCTCCCCCCAGGACTGTCAGTCTTGGAGCTGGGAATATGGTTGATTGGATATTTTCACAGCTCCCATGTCCCGAGACCGTGATTCTTATGGACCTCCACCTCCTCGCCGGGACCCCATGATGTCCAGGAGAGATGAGTACCCATCCCCTCGGGAAGATCATTACAGCAGCAGAGACAGGTGTGTGTGTGTGTGTGTGTGTGTGTGTGTGTGTGTGTCTCTAACTGAAGAGTGAAGCCCCTGGCAGACCACACATAACAAGCAGGGCTTGTATGAACAGTTCTATTTTTTCTTCCTGTCTGCCTTTGTTAACCTTGCCTATTGCCCGTGTGAAAGCTACTCCAGCCGTGACTACTTGAGCTCCAGGGATTCCAGAGATTACGGTCCTCCGACCCGGGATTACCCGTACCGTGATTCCCCACATTCCAGCTCGCGGGACGAGTATGGATCTATGTCACGAGGCTACAGGTATGGATGGTTGCTGCACCGATGCAGATTTGTGAGCTGCTACTTGGTTTAAGTGATTCTAATATTTTGGATGCCTTCAAGGCTGTATCTTTCTACCCTCTATCTTAATGTATACTTCTATTTAAAATGAAACCTTTTCATTCCCCCTGTATCTCATTGCCATCACTATCGGCGCTATGCCCAATTTAAAACTTTTGGTTCCTACATAAACATGAAGCATGGTTTTACTGTCTTTAATGAGCACCAGCTTAGTGTCACGAGTGTCCGTCCATCATTGGAAGATTAATTGGCTTGAGATTGGCAGATTTTGATCAAATTAAATCTCTGTAGAAAGGTGGGATCAGCACTGGGTAGAGCAAGAGGACGGGGGGGGGGGGGGGGGCTGATGGATCGTATTTTAGTTCTGCACTTTGACCTTACTAGCAAAACCACCAAGCATTCAGATTCTACATTTTCTATTTAATGTCTGAAATGGGTCTGAAGGATGCCCTACATTCAGTTTCTAACCTATATAATTAGTCATAGCCCTCATTGTGATCTTGCATGTTTGATAGCTGCATTTTGAGCTGCTGAGTGTCTCATTCTTACGGCAGTGAGCGTGAAAGCTACGGCGGAGCCCGTGAGCCCAGGACTTACATGGACCGCCCTAGTGCCAGCTCGTACAGGGACCCCTACGATGGATATGGTAAGCTGATCTATTTTACTGTAAGTGCTCTTGTGACATATTCATTGTCCAAAGTTGTTACTACCTCCAAGCAGGCTGGAGTATTTCTCTGGATCGGGAAAAACTAAAATTCATGTGATGACAAGCCCAGATTGCTGTGGAAACTGAAATCTTCCTTTCAGGCCAGAATTTATGCTTCAGAACAACATGGAATCTAGAATATGCCCCAATTCCCTTGTCGCTGGAAACACTATAAATGGCACAAAGCTAACAAGGAAAAAAAAAGCGGTCTCCAGTGTTGATGATTCTGATTCTGAGGAAGTGGAACGCTGCCTCTGCGGAATATTTAACATGACTGCAGTAGCGTAATCACTAATGGTTCAGCTCTCCGAATATCATCAGTTTCATATAAGCATCTGACTTGAAAAGTGTGCACATGGAATATCAGAATGTTACACAAACCAACAAGTCAACAGACTGCTCAAACTTGCCAGTTACTTGACATCACCCTCCCCCCCCCATTGACCCTGCAGGTAACTCTCGCAGCGCCCCATCCTCAAGGGCCCCCCCTCCATCCTACAGTGGGAATGGTGGAGGCAGTCGCTATGACGACTATGGCAGCGGGTCCCGGAATGGATACAGTGGTCGTGACAGTTATGCCAGCGGGCGGGCCGACCCATACTCCACTAGCCGCGGTGAGCGAATGGCCCGGCAAGAGAGGGGGCCCGACCCTCACGTCGAGAGAGGCTACCCTCCTCGTGACGTTTATGGTGGCTCGAGCCGTGGGGCGCCCCGTGGCGGTAGCCGGGGGGGCATCCGGCCCGATCGAGGAATGACTGGCAGCAGATACTGAAGTGGAACATGCAAGGAGTTTATGGGGGCGCAGACTGCGCCTCTTTTCAGTTCACTGGCACAAAGGCGGAAACTCATCTGGACACTGGGATTTTAAAATGTCGTCGTTTTCAAAAAAAAAAAAAAAAACCCTGTAGCTCTGTGCCCCCCACTTTTGCCTACTTTCCCCATCCTTCTGAAACATTAGGCTTCTTTAAATTGTTGTGGTCTACAGATTTTCCATTTTGATAGTACTGTTGACATTTTTTGTGATTTTTTTTTTTTTTTATGTTCTTAAGTGCTGTTAAATATGCAGTTCCCTGGATTAACATGCTTTTCATTTACGAATAAAGCTTTTTCATCAAACTCCTGATCGCAACTCATAGCAATCAAAAGGTATGAAACTCTGATAGCTCTTCAGAAGCAGATGCAGTTGCTGGTCAGAGCGGTTTCTCAAGAAAGCCTGTCCCTTTCAAACACTTTTGTTCTTGGTGCAAATGAAGCTCTTCTCATTCAGCTAAAAACTGGTTCATAAAAACATCAGATCCCTTTGAGAAAAAGCAAGAGATGTTTCTATCCCCCAGATAACTAGCAACAGAGGGCAAGCAAGTCAATTTTAAACGATATATTTCCCCCAAAAAAAATTGGCTCACAAGTACTCATTGACTCTGATCCCTAAGTAGTCTTCAGTTCCCCTACTGCACAAAAGTGTGATCTTGGGAAGACGTACCTTTTTAAAACTGGAATCAACCTAATTGTATTCTGAAGGCACCAATGTCCTTGTCACAAAAGGAAACCTTTTTGTTTCTTTGCTTGAAGTTATTACTGGCTGTAACGTTGTGGCTTTAGGCTGAAGGTCTGTACCTTCATCCATCCAGTGGAACTACTGACAGTCATCAACTTTCACTAAAGGATGAATTTGTTTCAAACGAGCTGAAATGATCTTGCCTGTTATTTCAAACTGAGGTGAGGTGTGTGAAAGAAAAGCTTAAAATACTGGAATTTGTGCGGGGAAGCAGGTGCTACCACAGATGGGTAACTACAAATTTAAAGAGGTTCTCCTTGTTACAGGATAAAATCTGGTTTTAATGGAATGAACAGGCAGTTGAGTTCCTCCTCCTGGCTGCCATTCTCCATTTCGGTCACCTAAGGTAAAGATCACTTATTTGTGGATAGTTCTGTGTTAATAAAAACATGCAAAGTGAAATGTTGTGAGATTAAAAGCTTGTATATATGAAAGCAGAGCTCTGCAACCCTGCATATCAGTTCCTCTGCCAGATGCATCTGGGGTTAGTGAAGACAATTCCTCTTTCCAAAGTGCTCTAAATAAATACATTTTACGAATATCCCGTCTTATTTCAATTTTTATGATTTGCTGCCATTGTAATGCTTGTGAAACCGGTGTTTGGCTTCCATTTGCGAATCTAACTTGACTGCCTGCAGAAGTACCATGTTGGGATGTTGTACTATTTTGATGCATCTCTACACCCTATAAAACACCAGGAAGCATTCATGTTCAAATCCCTTAGGTGGGATACAGTAGAGTTTGGTTTCCATAATTCCCCGTTTTTAAACAAACAAATGGGGTTTATTGTATTTCCCCATCTACCAGCTATGACCAAATAAATATCCAGTGGGAAACGTACTAGATTAAGGATCGAAAGGATAGCAGCAGTAGAAACAACTAAAATGCAGGGTGTGGGAAGTCCGCCGAGAGATGGACGATGAGGAGCATAGAGGAACGCCGTTTATCTCCCTGGGAATGCAGAACAGAAATGATGAACAATGTATTCTTTTGCAAGCTCTTGGAGAGCCAATGGCCGCCTCGGGCCAGGCGGGTGAGCTTACCGACACACGCGTTAAATCTCTTCTCGAACGATAAAACTACATATGGTGAAATAAATGCAAATCCCATTATAACAAAGTGGCAGGCTTTTTGGTTATTTCTGAAAACAAGCGACATTTAAAGGCTGGAACGCGTTGCATGGAAATACTACAGTAAGTGCGCATGAACAAACTGGCTAACGTGAAGGGATTGTGGGGTGGGTCTCCCGCCGGCTGAGGGAATGCAAGCAGCGCGCATGCGCACACGTGCTAGGACGCTTTCCATTTCAAAGCATGTTTTTCTGTCGAGCAGACCTGCACTAGGCAGCGGTGCGACCGGTCGGCCGTAGAAACGCCATCTACCACTCAGAGGATTGGCTTTCAAAACGCAAATAGGAAATAGCGAAACTACAAACCAGCACCTCTAAGAACCGTAAACCTTGACAAGCCACCCCCGAACTATTTTTAAGCGCTTATAAGCCCCCTACTACACTTACTAGTAGGACTCGCGCAAGCGCCAGCCAATCCCCCCTACGTCACTTCCGTTGCGCAGGGGGGGGCGGGTTTGTTACGCTTTACTGTAAACTGCGGGAAAGAAATGACGAAGCTGTATACGTACATTGCTACCGCCGATTGACTAACCAGATTTTTACTCCAGTGTCATCATTTCATTATCTTATGCCCTACTGTTGTAGTCCGGTTAGGGACAGAAGGACGAAGCTTGGTACGTGTATCACTGCTACTGATGCAATAAACAGTTCGTTATTCGGGCTTCACCGTTTCATTAATTTGTGTTGCACTGTTTATAGTGATGTCAGGATTTGAAGGACGAAGCGGACTGTCTAAGGAATACTGGAGTTTCTAAAAGGACATGCGCTTCTGGAAGGCGACGTGATTACGGTAACTGTGCAGAATGTTATTCCTGTTATAAACCTGAAAACTGTCAGTCTTTGTGCACTAATTGCTCCTGCCGTAACTGTTGACTGTATGCATATTTCGCATTCCTAGGATAGCCGAGAACTGCTGTTTTAAAACTTTTTAAAGCGCTGCAATTATTGTTTTCAATTGTGTAATGTATTGCGCAGCAGTGAATTGTTTAAACGGATGTTTCATTCATTTGGAAGTTATGTTAGAAGTTCTATGCAATGTTATCATTTTAAAAAAAATTTCAAGGTCGGTTGCTTTGCATCTCGCTGAAATAGTGGACAATTATTTTTAAATTTGTATCAATTCAGCATTAAAGGAAACTAGTTTTTATGTTGATTTGTGCTCGCATGCGAACTTAGTCTCACCTTAATGTTTCAAATGAGTTTAGTTCTCTTCGCAGCCTGCTTCCATGGTTATGAAACATGCAGTTTAGGTGAATCTCTTTTTACAAATTATCCAAGGTGTGCTATCCCCTGCCTTCTGGGATGGGATCTAGTCAGTCTAACCATGTATTGGATAAGTATGTATGTATGGATGGATGGGTTTTAAACAGGTATCACAACGTTGCTTTGGTTATCACAGTCACCTCACACCTCAAGTTGTCCATAGGTGTAAATGTGTGTGTGAATGGTGAGTGTGCCTTGCGATGGGTTGGTGCCCCATCCTGGGTTATTCCCTGCCTTGTGCCTTGCGATGGGTTGGTGCCCCATCCTGGGTTATTCCCTGCCTTGTGCCTGATGTTTCTGGGTTAGGGTTCAGACCTCAGTGACCCTACATAGAACAAGTTGGTATGGGAGATGGATGGAGGTTTCAACCTGACTCTCTGGGACTGTGAATCCAAGATATCTGCAGACTATCTAAAACCTCCGATCAGATCTCTAACCACCCAGGGCAGACAACATATAAGACTCTCTGCTTGCCTCCACTGTGGGAGCCGGTCTGTAAGGCTTGGACTGACCACAGTACATAATGCTAGACAGATGCATCTTATAAATAGATATAAGGACATAGGTTCTCATTTCTGGCATGTTGGTTTTTGTGTGCCACATCATTGGCTTTAATATGTGAGTGTGACAGTGGTTGAGGCTCAGAAAAATGTGTCTCTGTGCTGAAGATCCAGTGGCAGATGTTCCAGTGGCATGCTTTTGGAGACACACAGCCGCAGCCAGTCTGAATCCTGTGCTCAGCTGTTTGTAGGTTACAGCAGGGAAGCACTTCAGATTAAACTTATCATATTCAGAAATGTCATGTTAAATTTTTTTTTCATGAAAATAAAGGATATTTCCCATTCTTTTTTCCAACCTGTGCCTAATTGTTATTTCTTTCATAAACCACATTGAAATTATCCATTGAAATGCAATGAGTTTTCAGTATTCTTCAGCTAAAATATTGGTTAATATTAATTTTCTCATAGAAGCTCACAAAACCATGCACCTAAATAAAGCTCAATAGTTTTTCAGGAGATTTGTAGCAATATCCCTCAATCAACAATGGAGACTCTGGTGGAAATTAAATTGGGGTCAGGGCATACCCCAATTGTCATATCGCAAAATCTGTTCAAATTACTTTAAATATTTTGTCTTTATTTGCTGTGATAAAGCACTGTGACTTATTAAATCTAACCTGGGCCACTTTTCAGTTTTTTCCCCGCTGGTACTTACAGAAAGGTCATGTGTAAGGTAAAATAACTTGTTTCTCTTTAAATAATTAATTAATTCTGCCCAAACTCTATTCATATTATATTTTAATCTTTGCATTGAAGAATTTAGCATAGGCTGGTGTGCACATTTTCCACTGTGACTTTGTATAGTGCATTGTTATTCATGTCTGACCACTGTCTTCTTGTTCCATAAATAGTTGGGCTTTCTCTGCTCTGGACACTGTAGCTTTACTGAGAAACAGGCAATATAATTGACCAAGGCAGCTGCAACTTAAATAAAAACAAAACACTGCTTACATGTGGTGTTTCTGGGCAGTTTCATCCACTGCAGTCCAGCAATCCGCTTGGCCTCTGTAATTAGAGGGAAGAGGTTCTTTTTAAAGAATTATAATTTCCTGGGCATTTTAGGTGGTCCAGCCCAAGCCATGGTCAATATATTTTAATAAGGTCCTATTTTTAATAGCGACCAGATTACAGTCATGAAAAAGGCAGGTTACTTGGCCACGTACTCGGCCTTTACCTCCGTTTGCTAGCATCTGAGAGAAGATGGAGCTCAAGAACCCGCCGTGGAGGTTCTGCTCTGCAGTTCTGTCTGAGGGACACAGCCTGTGGTTGCTGGTGGTCTCAGTCATGTGGGCCACAATGATGAGAGGAGCCACATAAACTTCATCCCCACCATAGAAAAGAAAGATGCCATGAAATTCTTATTATATGACAAGAGAATGCAAGAGCAGCACTTTGGTTCTGATCAGGCACCGCACAGTAAGCGGGGCAAAGTTCTCTAAAGGCCAGAACTCAAACGGGGCATAAGAGCTAACGCCCAGACCGCTGACGAGGAAGAGACCGCGAGGCGCGGTGAAGTCCCAACAGCTTGTCTTGCAGTCTAGTTCACCAAGCTGCCGTGTGTCACAGACATCGCCGTCAAATGGCCCGAGTCGGGCAGAAAAGCCCAGGATCCGCTTCCCAGCTTCTGGGTTTCTGATGTTTTATTTAAATTGCGTAATCAATCCCCCGGTGGACAGGGAGCTGATGGTCGGGCCAGCGAGCACAGACGGGCTCTGGAGCCAATTAGAGACAAAGAGAGAACAAGGAGCCCAGTCCGCCGTGACGGTAGCGTGAAGTGTGGGCTGTCCGCACTATGACAGGTGTCCCTTCATCTCAAATAGGAGCGTCTCTGACAAGCCGATCTTACCTATCCATTCGCAGGCACGTTTGCTTATTTAATTCTGCTATTTTACTTATTGACCCACTATATGGTCTGTTTTGCTAGGTTCTCTCAATAGATACTTGTGTGTTGTATGCTGCATTTGAGTCTGTCCACTTAATAAGTTATAGCATTTCTGATTACAATTGTGTGGTTTCTAAAGAACATCATTCCCCCTTGACTATCTTGTAATTTTTATTTTTTATTTTTTGTCAGTTGTTGGATGTCTACCTCTTTTGGCTCCTTCACTGATGACTGCTTGTAAAATATTATCTAATTCACAAGGACAAATTTAAAACATTTTTTTCTGCTGTCTATGATGAAAGCTCGTTTCAAGTTTGAAATATATCTGCCAGGGTTTTGAGCCGGAGAGTCTGTACGCAGCGGGTGGACTTTGGCGGGATCTCAAACGTCCTGTCGGCTATAAACATCGCCACTCGAGGTAAACTTCAGTGCTTTGCTTTGAGAATGTCTTCGTTGCCGTAATGCAGATTTAAAAACAAAGAAAACAAGGGATTCCTGGGGTGGGGGTGGTGGTGTGGGGGGGGGGTACCTTTGCTGTTGGGGAGCATTTCATTCATCTTTGTTTAGATTATTGTGACCCCATGATTTTAGGGTAGAAGAAGGAAAGTGTTTTACTTGCTTTGTTTTTCTGTGTCCGTCCTAAAATGCCCATAGCTGAGCTGTGTGCTTTTGCGCATGTGGGATTTCCTCCATCACTATTTTTGGTGTTAAGCTGCTACCCAGCGTTCAGCCCTTTCTTTGCATGTCAGGCACGTTGAGGCTCCCGACGTGGTCCTTTCTTCCTGTTTGTGTTGGGTGGTTGGGTAGGCTGTAGGGGGAGGGTCAAATTGTGAGCCCGTGGTGTGACCAGCCTAGAACTTTAGCTTAGTGATTTAAGGTTAGATGAGTCACTCTGCCTCCTGCACAGATCTGTGCCCTGCATGCTGCCTCTCAAGAATCAGGCCATTGAAGGGAGTGTATCCTGGTATCACAGCATGAATACAGAAGAATGGGCTGGGGGTCCTCACTGTATCCCATAATGCCGAGCTAAAAGGGGGTGTGGCCTCCCAGTAAGGCGGATGGGTATGTTTTTGACAAAGAGTCAGTCTGTTGATGAAGGGCTTTCGTGCTTTTGGCGTTTTCCACCACAGACCAAGCCATAGATGAGACATGCTCCCCCTTCAGCGACCCAACCCATAGCCATTCAGCCGCATGCTGCCTTATTCCACGTCCAGCAAGTGCCTCCACGTGCTGTCCAGACCTGCGGTAAGGAGACTTGTGTCTGCACTCCATCTACGTGCAGACATGCAAGAACAGACAAGGCAGGCAGGGGACATCTGAAGAACGGCAGATTAGATATATCAGCATAATATAAAGGTAGCTCTCAACTTTACGAGCTAATTTGTTCTGAATTATAGCTTGGTAATCAAGAACTCATAACACGGGAGGTATTTTCCTTTAGAAATGTTATAAAAATGATGACTTTGGTTCCAGCCAAAACATTTTTATCAAAAGTTTTTGCCAAATAAACAAATGAAACACAAACGTATCATTAGAATTAACATTTAATCAAAATTATATGCATGTTTAAACAAAAAAAATCCTTGGAGAAAAACAATCACACAGTTCTTTGCTGAAATTATAACATTCACATTCAAGTTTGGTCACTGATTTTCAGCACATAGGGTGTTTTTTTCATGTATTCCACTCTGAGCTGGTGGAGATCACTCACACAGTACATAAAGCGAACCTGGTGTACTAACATGATCAGGTTGGGTCGTGAAACTAAGTGGTACAAATCAGGCACCATAGTTAAATATACCGTAAAGTGTAATGCTGCACATGTGCAGACATGCAAGGTACAGATTGGGCAGATGTTTTTGGGCAGCACACATTGAGTTACCTGCAAATTTTCTAAAAAATTATGAAAAATGTAATTTAAATTTTTGCTGGAGTAAACTCTCGTAACGATATAAGATGTAAATGGGGAGCTCAGAAAGTGAGAGCTACCTGTATCCATATAAAATGTGCATAATCTGCTCGTGACTGCATACCAAATCAGACCTTATGTATGCCACATGCTTATAGGAAAAAGAAGTCATGTGACCAGCGTAGCCAGATCCTGTCGTGTGTCTCAGGATTTGTCCCATTTCCCATCATTCCCTGGCCCCCTTTCTGCTGATATGATTATGCTGAAACACACCAACCTGAAGCATACCGTGTCAATGATGTGCTGCACTAACACAGCTATGGCCTTATGGAGCGTTCTCCACTGTATTGATTGAATGCCCTCCTCCCTCGGGAATGTGTAATTAATTCCATCAACACTATTATTGTTCGCTTAAGAAAATAGGCAAAAATGTTAACTTCGGGCAGTAGTTTCAAGTGAGCAAGTGAATATGAATCGTTAGATGTGGGATTATCGCCGGTGTAAACTGCACACCTTCTCAAGGGCACATCAGCAAGGTCAGCATGAGCTGGAAGCTTTTGGTTTATCAGTCCAGGTTTTTGTTTCATTTTTAACTGCTTTGATGCATTTTGCCTGTTTTGCCCAGGAGATGTCAGAGAGCGATAGCAGTGGCGGGCAGTCAGTGGTGAAGGCCCGCTTCAACTTCAGACAGAACAATGAGGATGAGCTCTCCTTCAGCAAAGGGGAGCTAATCACGGTCACGCGGCAGGAGGAGGGCGGCTGGTGGGAAGGCACGCTCAACGGCCGCACCGGATGGTTCCCCAGTAACTATGTGCGCGAGGTGAAGCAGTCAGGTCAGCACCGGTGACCGATACCAATAATCAATATACACCAGTGGCCAAAACTGTGGAAACACCTAGCATGTTTGGCATTAAGCTTTAAAAATTACTGCACAGATATTGGCGGTAATGTTTGTAAACAAAGAATGTTACAAATATCATACACTGGACAATTAAATAAATAACTGGAGCAAGAGCTGAAAAACTGAAAGTGACCACTAGTCATTAGTTTGACCACTAGTGTATTTTTGCCTAACATTACCAATGCTTATAACCAGCTAACCATTTGTGCCGGCATTGACACTTGCGAAGGGGCGGGGGCGGGGGCAGTAAAGTGCAAGGACAATATGATGTTATATTGTTCTGTGGGCCAGATTTAATAATAAATTAAAAACAATGCAATCTCCATTATTTTAGTAGTTACAGTGGAATCTGCTTATAGTGATCACATCTGTCTGGGTGAAACTGATTGCAATAAGTGGATGATCATTATAACCATTTCTTTTATTTTTCTTTATGTCTCAGGCAGATTACCATCTAATTGACATTTGTATTTTTACTACATAAATATAAGGTAATAGAATTTACAGAATTTTATTGACTATTTCAAAATACAGTGGTACGTCGGTTCTCGAACTTAATCCGTTCCGGACTCCGGATCGAATCCTAAAAAGTTCTGATCCAATTTTTCCCATAAGAAATTATGGAAAACCAATTAATTGGTTCCTGGCCCCCCAAAATTAAACTTAAATATGTTTTTTTTTTTTAAGCATTTAAACACAAGATGAACAGGATAAAACAAGAAGAGCATTTTTTTCTTAATGGCTTCCAAAATGATAAAGATCTTATCCCAACATTACCCCTGTCCTGCCCCGATCGTCCGCTCTTTCCGTGTGCCACGCCCCCTCGTTAACCTCGTGTGGGATCCCCATGTGATCAGCTGTTTCTGGTTGTTGTCACTAGTCCTCTGTATTATTAGTTTAAATAAATGACATAAATGCTCTAATAGTGCACGTAAGTTAGTGGTTTATTTATTGTTAGTTACTGTAATGTTGCGCTGCTTTATTTGGTTAATCGTCCAGTCTGTGAAGAAGGCATTCAAGTAAGAATTGCATTGTAGTATGACTCATTTCCTGGCACGTACAATTTATATTAGGTCAGTGTTCACGGTTCGACTTCTGATATTCAGATCGAGTTCTAGGTCAAACTGGTTTGTTCGACTTTCAAGAAATTTGAGTTTGAGAACCGAGGTACCACTGTACAGTACATCTGTTTCAAACGCTTTTCAAATTACAGTATTGTACAAATTAAATTACTGAACTATGTATAATTCAAATACGCTATAATACTGTAGCGCCGGCGGCATCTGCTTATCCCGGCATGCCTCGCGAGCGTGTGTATATAGCCCCGTGTATGTCTTGTATATAGCCCCTGTTTGTTTTTTAGTGTAGGTACTTGTGCTGTGTATCTGGTTAAGGCGTGCGCCTTTAACTGTGGTTGTACCCGGTTCTTGCCTGATCCTCGCGTCTTAGCCATTATGTAATTACCCGACACGTTTGAGCCTTACCGTCTTTACTCCAACTTACCATGTTTCACTGTCATTCATAGCTTTCGTGTTATTGTTGCCTGTTGTGCGGCCCCTTTAAGGAGTGATGTAAGAACACCTTCGTGTCAGTCTGCCTCTCGTCGTTTTCATTCGCCGCCGCCGTGATTCATCGGTCTGCTGTTCAGTATTGTACATAAAATATACCTTATTTTAGTTTCGTTGCTGCATCTCGGTGGCTCGTTTTCGGTGGTTTATCATAAGCTTCGATGAGTCTATATTTGTAATTGAGAGAAAATGACTTACTTTATCCCGTCATATTTTCTGTGCGTGCAGCATTAACCTCAGGTAGCTAGCCAGAAGCAAACGGGTTATTGCAAATCAAAGTAGGCTTATCAAAATAAATTTAAAAAACATATTAGCGTAGTTTTAATTTTTTCCGTATGTTGTCATATAGAAAAAGAGATAAAATGAACACTGAAAGCGGACTACTTGATTACTATAAGCGAATTGTTTAAATGGTATTTGTACAGGAATGATTCTGTCCCAAGCTTTTTTATCCATATAAGCAGTTGACCATTCTAACCGTGATCGCTATAAGCAGGTTCCACTGTATGTCTTTAGCTCTTGTTCTGCTAATTTTAATATTGACTAAAGTCTAAATATAAATATCAGCTGGCAGTATCGACCAAGACTGACACATGATGCCGACGTCTTGATTTTTAACATCGGCTGATACTGATATGTTAACCGATATATCATGCATCTTTGTTAACCTAACATTTTGAAAGAAATGGGGGTAACCAGTTCAATATTTCTCTTACAAGTTATGAACTCCTGTATCAAGAGTTTACACAAACATAGTGAACCCTTTACACAATGGTCGGGCAGCTCTTTGACTCTTGTGTGGTTGCCTCTGATCTTCATTCTCATTCTGTGTGTGTCTTCCCAGAAAAACCACTCTCTCCCAAATCGGTGAAGGGGTTTGACACGCCCCAGCTAACCAAGAGCTACTACAGCGTGGTGAGAACTCGCTTAGATGTCCTACCCACTCCACATCACAGCCCTATTCCATATACAGTAAACTGTGTCTCGTAGACATCCGTAATAACAAGTGCAATAAAGAGAGACTTTGCTCAAGTGCTTCTAACAGAGTAAGGTGTGATGATTCCTTTAGTTAATCTGTAATTATCTAGTGTTGCGGATGACAGTTCTAGCATTGCTTTCAGCACACAGCCTTGTCAGACAAGTTGTACCCGATTTGTACCTGTCCAGCTGGGTGGCTGATGCTGGGCTCCTCTGCTCTGCTCTCCGCAGGTTGTGCAGGACATCTTGGAACACGAGCGAGACTTCCTTAGAGAGGTGCAGTCCTTGTTGTGCTGCTACCTTCGCCCCCTGCAGGCCAGCAATAAGTGAGAGTGACACAGAAATATGCACACTTGGCATTCTGAGCTCCGAGTTGGGTTTTTAGAAGCTTCTCATTTTAGGCTGGGCAGGACAAGTTTGTTTATATAGTACCTTTCATACACTGTGGTCATTCAAAGTGCTTTACACATAAGAAAAATACAGAATACAAAGAAAATTCAAATTTAAATGTAAAGGATAATAGAGTATAAATTAAAAACATGATTAAAACATTAGATTTAATAGAGAAAAAGTAAACATGAAAATAATAAGCAAATTGTAGATAAATTTATAAATAAATTACAGATAAAATTTATAGTGCTTAGGGATCTCAAATATGGACATAATGATAAATAAACTAATAGAAAAAATAAAAATAAAAAATGTATTCCAAAGATTTATAGAAAATGATTTATTTTATATAATTATATAATTATTTTGTTAGTTCTGAAGATTTATTTTTTAATTGTGTTTTTTATTCCATCGACTTATTTTTTAATTGTTTTTTTTTCCGAAGATTTTTTTTCGTTCATCCATATGTAAATGAGGGGGGCAGCCCTGACCCTTTTCCTAAAGCATAATTGGTCAGGAGGACTTTGCTGATCTGTGCTCCGTCATCAAAATGACTTGTTGACAAATTTGGTCGACATGCAATACATCAGTGAAACGACACTGGGTACTAAGACGACAGAGTACAGTTTAAAGTTGAACTGACAGACAAATGACTTGTCAGGTACACAATCAGTATAGACAGTCTCATTGTCAAAAGGCTATTGTCACAGCTGAAGTACAGTTCAAAGTTGAATAGAGACAGACAGATGTTTTGTTACATGTTCAGACATATTTTTGACGCAGATGGAAACCGATCTCACAGAGTCATGTAGTGTGAACTTAGCATTACTAACATGAACGCTAGATCACATTTCTTCTCATCCAAGAAAGGCCAAGGTAATGGAGCGCAGATCAGCAGAGTCTCCCTTCTGGCCAAAAGTGCTTTAGAAAAAGGATTAGCCCTGCCCAACTGATTTATATACTGATGAATAAAAAAATAAACCTTTGGAATAAAAAAAACAATTAAAAAATAAATATTTGGAATAAATAAATACATTTTTCTATAAATCTTCAGAATAAAAATTAAATTCACTTATTTCCTATAAATCCTATAAATCAAATTAAGAGACAGGTGAAATCTGTTACTCCCCCTCCCGAGAATAAAAAACCAACAAACATAGCATTTACAAAGAAAAGGTTGCAGATGAAATGTTACAGAACCAGACGAGTAGCCAACAGATAACATCATGACTAAACAGAATAGCAAACCTGCCTCTCTTGTTTGTACCTGCTCCAGTCTGTGCTTCTGAGACAGCCAGAGCCCCTGAATTTGCCATATATCTGTTGGTTGCCAGACACTTGGACTCCAGTGTTCGGCCAGACACCAAATGATTCAGCTGAGCGATGCTGAAGGCTTTGTCATTTGCTCAGCAGGAGCAAACCTAGCTGAGGATCAGTTACTGAATTCCACTTTACAGAAGCCACAGCTGCACCATTGGGCCTGCATTCATTTGTGGCTGTTGTGGGTTTTGTTCCCGGTTGGGCCAAACAGGTTGTCCAGTGCAGATGTCAGCCACTTGATGGGGAACCTGGAAGATATTTTTACTTTCCAGCAAGGACTGTGTGCGACTCTGGAGGAATGTACCAAGTAAGGGTCCTCTGTGGAGCAGCTGTCCTATTTATAGGTGTTGAAGTCCACTTGGTGTCCTCCTGTATGCAGCTTGGCGAAACAGTAGAAGATGTGAAATTATGCATTCATCATTCATTTGGGGAACATCTGAATAAGATGTATTTTCATCCAGCGGCTTAGCAGATGACTGCTTAGCACTGCGCTGTCAACGGTAGCCGGGATACCCCCCAATTTTGGTTACTTCAGGCTTACACAAAAGCCCTATAAATTTTTGGACTTGACTTCATATTCTTGAAGCAGGTTTGCACATCTAACATGCATAGTGTATTCTGGGAACAACTTTTTAGTGTCTTATCTGTTTGAGATTAATGGTGATTGTGACATCATGACATTAAGAAGCTGAAACTGAAACTAAGCAAAAACCAACACACATTTGCAATATTCTAACTCTCATAATGCTGAATACCCCCTAGTGGGCAATATGGGAACAACATAGACATTCAGACTTTTCAACAAACATAGCTGCATTTTTCAGCTTCTATTGTCAGTGTTGTTCTTTTGAGGATTAAATCAGATACATTATTTCCAAAGAATTTAAATGAGTGGTTTAACACCCCCACCACCTCCACCCCCAGAATGCCAGAAGGCCAGCAGCACCTGGGTGGATGTTACCTTAACCTGCTGAACCAGATCCGGACGCTACACCTGAGCTACTGCTCCACCCATCCCTCTGCTGTGTGTGTGCTCACCGAACACGGGTCAGTTTACGCATCTATCTGCTTCATTCATTCCTGACAAATGAAGGTCTGATTCCTCAGTCCTGGGGATCAGCAAACCAATCACACGCAGTGACAGGTAATAAACCATCAAAGTCCACCCAATAGAAACACAAAAGAAACCTGACATCCCCTGGACATCCTGTTACACACTTTTCCAGGATTCACTGTCCTTGTAACTTGAAAGCTTGTAAAAAAAAAAAAAAAACGGAGTTTAGTCCTGGGAACACGGAGGCACCATCCGTTGTGGGCCCTGATGTTTCGATTGCAAGTTTGGTTACTGAAATGTTTTTTGAGGTATTGGGGGGGCAGTCCCATGGATGCACTGGTGGGTCAGGAGTGTTATACTCTGTCCTAAAGTAAACGTGAAGCCAGTGAAGTGATTGCAACACTGGAGTGATATGGTGGTGCTTTTGCACCCTGATCGGGATTCCGGCTGCATTGTTTTGGATGTATTGGGCTGTCTAAATCCTCCAATCAGAGGTCCCGAAGAGAAGAGCACTGCAATAGTCCAACCTTAAAGAGATAAAGGCACGGATGAGTTTTTCAGTCTACAAAGCTGAGGGTGGGGTGAAGCTTGACTGTATTGTTAAGATGAAGGAAGGAGATTTTACAGTTATTTGATATGTTTGTTGAATGTCAAGTGAGGGTCAAACTTACAGTCAAACCTGTAGCCCGGATTAAATGTTTTTGATGTCAAGTCATGGTATCAGTCAGTGTGATTAACACACAAAAGGAGCCCTTTGACGTGCAACGGGTGGGGAACGGCTTTCATTTGTGGGCCAAGATCAACACAACAAAGATGGGTGAGGCAAACAGGAAACTGCCAAAATACCATTTGGCGTGACTGAGGGACGGCAGTGGGAAAGAGAATGTGCTGTGAGTGGTCATGTGATTCGGGTGGTCATGTGATTCAGGTGCTCATGAGGGTCCTGGGATCTGTGTACTGAAGGAGACAGAGAAGCAAACATTTATTCAACAGCGCTGAATAACTTGAGTTCCTCTATTTGTCATAAAGCTAAGACTGTTGTTTCTTATCAATTATGTACGTAATGAGCAGGCTGCAGTTGCAGTATGGCCATATTCCCTCAACATTGTGGGGGAGGTCCCGTCATGCTCTGTCCCGGAAGTTACCACCCCATGTAAAGACACTGGACAGTGTGACAGAGAACCAGAGGAGAATAACAAAGTAAACAGACATTGCAATTCTAGGTTAGTATGAAAATCTAGATCAACTGCAAAATAACAGTAAGTGCAGTCCAGGTGACTGGGTTATGAAGAATTTAGTGGGGGTGCATTATTGTCACAGAGGATGCTTGTCGGTAATAGCTAATAGTCTCAGCAGAATTGTCCCATAAATTATATCAAAATTATGTTTGCCACCACAAGATGTCAGACTAGTACAGATGCTCTTTCAGCGCCAAGGAAGAAACTAATGTTTAAGTATCGACTCTACTATGAAATTAAACTTTCTGCCAGAAACTAAGTGTACTTGTTTATTTTCATGAAAAAAATCCTGAGAAAAGTATGCTGTCTTTCTGTATTTAACAGCAGAGTCGGGAAGCCTAAACATCCCCACTGTTATATGTGTGCGATCTAAAATGATATGATTGTAATTCCAGCAATGTGACACAAAAGCTTTTATAAGGTAGGTGATATGTGCACATTCATACACAGCGGAGGTCACAGCTGCTTATCAGGGTCTTACTCGCGTGATTAACTGCAGAGAAAACTGCACCTCCTCAGAGAACGAGGGGCCTGGACAGGAAGCCCACAGGAAACGGATCCTCACACAGCAGGGTCTCTGTGAATGCGGGTAAACTGACATCACGTTTGTGTTATCACTTTATATTGGAGAGTTTCCAGTTATGAAATACTTTCACTTTTTAACACTTTACTTCACTGCCACATGCTCTGTAAGGAAAACCCAGATCTACAGTCCTGATCGCTTGGAGAGATGATGTGTGACAGGCCAGGACAGCATAATGTTTGTCTTTCCTGTTTGCCTTGCGAAACCCATTTGATTCATTCCCTCTGTCTGGCTTTGTCGTCTCTTTCTCTTGCGAAAACGTAAATTGCTGGTAAACCATTCAAAATTTGACACTCAGATTCAAACTTTAACACTCAGATTTCACACCAGATAAAACTACACTTGTTCTGATATGATTTGCTATTACATTGTATTTAAAATACGGACTCAGTGTCTTCTGTACTTACAGGATATGGTAATAACGCGTGTTAGGTGCTGATAACAATGTGACCGTACGTGTCCCTGCATGGCAGGGAGGACCTGGACACCTTCATGGAGAGCCACGGGGCTGGTGGCTCAGGCGTACTGACTTTGACCACTGGCCTCAGCAAGCCCTTTCTGCGGCTGGAAAAGTACCCCACCCTACTGCAGGAGCTGGAGCGGCATGTCGAGGTACGAGCAGCTCGGCTACGCAGCGCCGCTGGAAGCCCACGTGGTCCGCTAGCCAAGTTTCACCGCCCAATTTCGCATTTTCAAAACCAAAGGTCTTAGGCAGCCCAATGGTGAAGCTTGCTAAGTCAGCATGCGCCCCCCCCCCCCCCCCGAAGACACCGGCCGTGTCACCTATAGGGCTTACCGGGCCCTGCAGGCATGTCCTGGCCGGGATCTGGCTCCGTCACTCGAGTGCAGCCTAGTTACTGCATCGCTTGTTTGCTGTCCTGCCTGTAGGAAGCTCATCCAGACTCCGGGGACATTCCAAAGGCGGCGGCGGCCTTTCAGGGCCTGGTGGTAAGTGGCTGTGGCTTCACTAAGCCCTCCTGTCGCCGCATACCAGCTCTGCGCACCGTAGCACTGAGAACAGTTAGTTGCACTTAGGTTTTATTAGTGGGGGGATCGGATTCTGTGTTTGTGTTTGGAAGGTCACTGGCTGAAATGCCTTGGCTGGCAGATTGACTTCTCACTGATTTCTTTTTAAAAAAAGCATCTGCTAAATAAATAGAGTGTCATGTAAATGTAGTACAGGTGCCCATTTTTGCTTTAATAGTATTGTGATTTTCCAGAGTCGTTTATATACATCTCTCCGGAATCGTCATGTGACTTACAGCAGACAGACGCACATAAAAGCAGGATCTTGGAACAGTGGCTTAATTTTAGAATGTAAAACCTGGAGGAGAAATGAGAACAAAAGATTTTTTGACTTCAGCAGTGGCGGAAAATGCAGGGTCACCGAACGGGCGTTGGGGCTTGGGGAGGAATGACTGGGTCTGGCTGTCGTGGGGAGTGAGTGAGAGAATGGAAACTGTGTCATACGTTTAAGAACAGGAAGCAGGTGAAGAGGTAGAAGTGCGTGTTTTAAGCAGCCTAGGGGTTGCACCAGATGGTACTGCTGGTCAACGCCCATGTGGTACCCAAGGCCGTCTTCACCATCGGCAGCCTCTTCCAAACCGTTTTGGACCATGTCTGCTGGGGGGGTGGCACCCACATAGAAGATAGCTCTTGGCTGAAGCTAAAATATTTTAAGAGGCTTCCATATTTCTAACTTTTGTCTTTTATGCCTTGATTCATTTTTTTTTTCGTCTAAGTTTAGGCATGCAGCCTTGAGGCTGGAACCCCTCCCACCAGCCCCCATGTCAGAGCCGGGGTGGGGTATATGACTCATTTTTCTAGCTGTGGCTTTGTAACTTAGGTGGTGTTGGGGGGGGGGGGCGCGGGTGAACCTCCTTTCTGCTTGTTTGTTTGTCTTCGGCTTACCTAGGCCCAGAAATGTGGCACTGGCTTGGGCAGCCATCATAAATATTCAGTGAAGGGAATTCCCCATTGCCTCTTTCCTAAGGTGACTGTGGCAACTTCACCGCACCTCTAGTCAGTGCTGAAAAATGCTGAAAATAGATAATCATAGAATACTGGTGCCAAGAAGCTGGTTGGTTCACTGCATGCCCTCATACAGAGTGCAGAATCATCCCAGGGTCTTGGTTATATGTGGTAAGATGTTGGCTAACACGTTATTATCTTCTGTCTCATCTTCTCCTCTGAGATTGTATCTTTAAATCCGGGTATCAATTTGAGCATCGTTCTCCTACTCGGGATAGCCCGTCACTTACTACAGGTCGCCCTGTCATGCAGCGGTAATCGTCTGCCTCGTGTCAAAGTGTTAGTATCGTTTTCTGTGTGGGTGTCTGGCCCCCGCCTCGACGCTGAAAGTGCCGGGTGGGCGGCCTTATTGGCAGGCTGCGCTTAAGAAACCAGCGAAAGAAAATTCCCAAGCCGGCAGAGAGCGACAGCTCAACTCGCCTGACCGTAGCGAGGTATGAACCTGACGCTATGAAATGCGTGTAGCTCAGCAGACTGGACAAGTCTGTCCTGGGCCTTTCGAGGGGGGGACCGGCACTCGTCACCCCCGGACATACACTATCCAATATTTTATTTACTTCTGTTAATATTCTGTTTTTCAGAATTCTATTTGTTTGCTATATATTTTTTGATGTTCTTTACATTATCTGTACTGTCCCTTACGTTATGCAAGGCTGAAACTTAAAATTTTTTGCTACTGGCCAACTGGGCTAGTTCAGTAAAAATCATAGGCTGACATACAGGTTCGGTAGTAGCCAGTAGGCTAATGTTCAGTTCTTTGTATTCGCCCTTTGTCTATGTTACTCGGCTCAGGCAGGTGGGTGAGCTTAATTGCCTGCTGGGATCAATAAAGTTCACATAAACGAATCCTAACCCTGGCCCTCATGGGCAGTGTTCAGACCACGTTTCACCTTGTTTTCTGCAGACGCAGTGCCATGAGCTGCGCAGACGCAAGGCACTGGAGCTGCAGATACTGTCGGAGCCCGTGCAAGGCTGGGAGGGCGAGAACATCCGTTCGCTGGGTCACGTGATTCACACGGGGAACGTGCAGCTACAGAGCGGTCCGGGCCAGGTGAGCGAGTGGGCAGGGCAGCAGCCCACCACAACGCCTTAGCTGTGGTACTGGGCACTCCTGTGTTTTTGGCATTGGGTTACATGCACAGGCGTGACTGCGGTTTCTTGTAGGACAAGGAGGAACGCTATGTCATGCTTTTTCCCAGCATGCTCCTTGTGCTGTCCGCCAGCCCTCGCATGAGTGGCTTCATCTATCAGGTGAGTGTGGCGTATCTTAGCATCCCCAGAGGCCTCTTGGTGCCATCGAAATGTCTGCCGAGGCAGCCTGAGTCCAGACTTCCACCTCTGTCTTTCCATAGGGGCGTTTTCCTCTTGCTGGGACAACTGTGGCCAAGCACGTGGCTGGCACTGACAGTGGACAGTTTGCCTTTGAGATCGCAGGTTTGTTTGTGCATATGGGTAAAGCTCTTTCCCTTCATCTCTGTCTGAATTTTCTTTTTGATGACTTCCCAGAATGCAGTTCTGTGAAATGAAAGTCTCAGACACGCTTGTTGCAGTTGAGCTAACATAGATTCCCCTCAAATGCACAGCGGTATAGCATGATCTTATACAGGTGCTACCTTGATTTTGCTGAAACAGTAGGTCAGAGGAGACTTTTTAATCAAGGTAACTGAATTAGCAGCTGTTCTAATGAGAGCAATTAGCATGCTGGTAGAAGCCCATCACGCCCACCCAGACAAAGCTAAACTGCCTGGCTAATTCAGTGCCCCCTCAAGATGGCAACCTAGACGATTGCCTGGGTAAAGGGTTGACTGGCCCTGGCAGTGAATCACAAAGGTGGTTCTCAGTCTGCTGGTACATAGCTTTTGCTGGAGGTTTGGAGTCTGAGAACATTGCTAATCTGCTGGGTCTCTCGTTGTGTCGTCTGACTTCAGGGGGTGTGATTGAGCGCGTTATAGTGTTCTGTGCCAACCAGCAGGACCTTCAGGAGTGGCTGGACCATCTACAAACCTTGACCAAAGGGGGCAGCCCAGGGAGCACCATCATCAAGGTACCCCAGTGCATGTTAGTCAGTAAACCATTCAGGCTGCCAGCCCTTGCCTGGTGGTATGTCGTCTCCATGGATATGGGTTATGGGGTGCTTGAATTAGGGGTGCTGTGTGGCTCGGTGAGTTAGGGTACTGTGCTTGTGATCGGAAGGTCGGCAGGTCAAATCCCAGGGTCGGCAGAGTGATGTCACCTTTGGGCCCTTGAGCAAGGCCTTTAACCTCCAATTACTCTAGGAATGGTGTAAAAAAAATAATTGTGCATCCCTTTGGTTAAAAGCATCTGCTAAAAAAATTAAATGCTACTTAGTCGTGAAAAGTGCATCACAAGTGGCCCGGAGTGAAGGATCTACCAAGCAACTATAAAAACAAAGTTCTTGTTGTTCTTCAGAACACAGAAGGGAAGCCGGCAGCCAGCATCGGTACTCTGGCCCACCAGAGCCACGGCACGCCCACCTTCGGCCGTGGACCGCTGGAGCCACCTAAAACCAGCAAGCCCTGGTCCCTGAGCTGCCTGCGCCCCGCCCCTCCCCTCAAGCCCTCCGCCGCACTGGGCTACAAGGAGGTAGCCGTCCCGGGCCGTTCCTTAGAACCGTGGGGAAACCCAGGCAGCCAGCTCATGTTTTTGCTGTTTGCTGTATAAATAGTGCCGTGGGCATCTGTGGCTGCCTGCAGGGGTCCCATAATGCGACTGCTGACAGGAGACGTGGGCACACACTGGTTCCTGTAATCACTGGGGTTTTTGTTGTTTCCTCTGCTCTTCTTGTGTACCCATCACTGCCTGCTTCACATCTCGCACCGGGGGGTGAGTTAGGTCACTGCCGGTAATCAGAAAGTCGCCGGTGGTTCAAATCCCAGTGATGTCACTGTTGGGCCGCTTAGTAAGGTCCTTAACCCCCAGTTTCACCAGGGACCCTGCATTGTCATAAATATGCATGGATTTGGTTAAAAGCATCTGTTAAATAAATAAAATGTTAGAGGCTGACTAGGAGGGAATCAGCGTCACTGTTGACTTGGCTGCCTTGTCATTCTCTGCTTTTTGTGGGCATGAGTGGTTACAGGAGTCAGTTGATGAAAACAAACTTCACGTACATGAAACACACTGACCATCCACCAAGGGTAGAATGAGCACAAGCAAAGCCTTGTTTATGTGTCACTTAAACTCTTGTGTTTTTCCTCACTTTTTCTTTCTCTTTCTCTCCATAATGACCTCTTTAGAGGATATCTTGTATCCTGAAGGTAAGACTGAAGCGCTGTGTCTGTCCCCTCCCACCCTAACCTTGTCTGTGGTGAATACTGCATCTGCCCGTTTTATTTCATGCTTGTTGTACGACGTCACTCGTCTTAAACACATTATATGAAAACAAAATAAATGTGTAGTTTCTGTGTTTTTAGCTCCATGACGCAGAATCCAGTGACTTCTTCCTTTATTTTGTTTCACGCTTAAACTGAAAATCTCAAAACTGAAATTGTAACTATAAACATCACTTTTAGCACTTTAGTTTCAGATCTCGTCTTGAACTTGTTGCTTTTGTCAGCATTTCTTGTAGGTTGCAAACTCATTATATAACCAGAAGATGCAGTGAGATTCCTGTCTTGTTTGTTGCACGCTTACATGCTTACATGGTTAATGGTCGGACCTTTGACATCTGTGCAGTGGTCTGAAATTAATGTATTATTATTATTATTTACACTTCTATATGTGGGCTAAAACTTTGTGCGCTGGGAACAGGCGAAACACGAATGTAAGCACATTATCTTGAGGGACACTTAACACAGGGGGGGCGGGGGGGTCGGGTGGTCGAGTCGCTTCAGCTGGTGAAAAGCGAAGTCAACGACAGAAAAACATAAGGAAGCTTCTGGAAGCAGGACAGTCTAAATAAGAAATCAGAGTAAAATTTATGGAAACTATAAAATGTGACTGCAAAGCACTGCATAAATAACTTATCAGTTCTTAAAATTGTCTTTCGCTTCTTAATGCTGGCACTCTAGTGTAATTCTTTGAGGACATTAAGGTCAAATGCATCTGGCCCCAGTTTGCCCCCCCCCCCCTTGGGGTGGTTTTACACTGTGATACTCATGGTTGTCATCTGCAGGATGGATCTCGTAACAGTTTCTCCTACCTGCTGCTTTACCTCCACTGCTGTGTTTGCAGGACTCCAGCAAGAGCCCCCGACCAATAAAGAAATTCCTCCCTAAAAGGAAGACTGAAAGAAAGCCATCTGATGACGAGGTTCTGATGAGGAAGAGTGAGTACGGTGCCCGAGCCGGAAGTCCTGCCAGCCGTTGCCTTAAGCTGTGTGGCCCTCGTGGTTTCACTGTAGCTATGGGGCTGTTTCCATGCTACTTGTCTGCAGGTACCGCAGCTCTGGAAGAAGATGCGCAGATTCTGAAGGTGATCGAGGCCTACTGCACAGGGGTCAGCCTACACCAGGTCACCACCGGTGAGGGAGACCTCGCCTTCGAGGGCAATCTCCCCCTGTCTGCTGGGGCTGGTATCTTTCCTCGTTGAGATAGTATGTCTGTGTGATGGTGACACGGATGCCGTTCCGTCTCTGATTGCAGCAGCCAGGAAGGACTGTGCTCCTCAGGTTCTCTTGCCTGAAGAAGAGAAGATCATAGTAGAGGAGGTGAAGAGCAACGGTCAGATGGTCATAGAGGAAAAGTAAGGGTCCAGGTGTCCTTCTGGTAGAACATGCAATCTGATGCCATCAGCGTGTTCTTTACCTGATTTGGCAATGTTTAATCATTTTATGAAGAGTCACATTTCTTATGTTTCCCAGCACTGTAGAGTAACACAGTGTTGTTGTGGTTCTGGTTCTGCCTGCTGCAGGAGTCTCGTCGATGCTGTGTATGCTTTAAAGGATGAAGTGCTAGAACTGAGAAAGGTAACACTGTCCGTGTAGATACTGCTTCAGCGTAGGAGCGTGTGGCCCTTTGAACATGACACGCTTTTTGTGTTTCTCTCTGCACGTGTGTTTGCATGTGTTGGTGGGCGGCAGGGTTGGGGCCATTCCGGAATGCATTCGTCAATTCCAATCCAAATCAGGAAATGGAACTGGAGTTGGAATTTATATCTCCCTGAAATTCAAATTCAATTCCAATTCTGTTCCCTGTAGTTTTTTTTCCCCCAATCCCAACTCCAGTTCCATTTCCTGATTTGCATTGGAATTGGTCGGCAGTTCAAATCCCAGGGACGGCAGAGTGATGTCACTGTCGTGCCCCTGAGCAAGGCCCTTAAACCCTAGAGGGGCAAAATCTGTCCTTGCGTTCTCAAAAACAAAAAAGGTATGTTGCTTGGGTCTGATAAATGAATAAAATATAAATGTCCTCAGGAGAACAAGCAGATGAAGCAGTGCTTAGAGGAGGAGCAGCGCTCCCGTAAGGAGCTGGAGCGCGTTGTGCGGAGGCTGGCCAAGCAGAAGAACGACTGCGTTTGGGACGAAGGCGCTCATTAAGGCCCTCGATCAAGTCGCCCGACAGCCCTCCTCGAACTCCTCGCGTGTATGTGCACGTCAGCACTGTTCACTTTCAGCGTGAAAATCGCTTTCGATGAGCATTAAAAGGACCAACGCACAGGGATGTATAAGCAGTCACGTCACGTGAAATGAGGCTGATGATGGTAGCCGGCAGTATGGGTGACCCCGGCAGAAGCCACCACAAGTCCCTATTATGTCTTCCTGTAAAAATAAACGTGGGGGCAGGGGGGGTCATATGCGACAGCTCCTGCGCAGGCGGCTGACAGGTTATCATACCGTGTTAGGACCGGACGAAAAAGATGCCCGTCACAAAATGAAGCGTAAGTGTTCTGGGCCTGTATGTCTGTCCTATATCCTGTGTCCGTTACACTGATGACACTATAATTCCGTCGTGCCCACTGGGGTTTCCAGGGCAGTGGGCCCCACTGGACAAGGTGCTTCTGCAGTGCACCTGCTTTCGTTTGAGACCAGTCTAGCAGGGCTTTCGTTTTCGCTGTGATCTTCAGTTTTATCTAAGTTACAGGCGAATAACAAAAAATAGATTAAGTTTGCAGTTATGTAGGAATGACCGTAGCTAGGTGGTGAATCCCAAAGCAATATGAACTTGGCAGTATCTGCATGTATCTGTATCGGTATATGTATGTATTCAGAATTTCAGTAGTATGTATTATCATTTCTAAAAATATTTTCCAAGCATTTCAAGTCCAAAGCTATCAGGGATATTACGGTAATGAAACAGTTTCATCATGCACGTAGATATGTGATATAAAGACCAATACATTTACCTGTCAATTATCTACTTTCTTAAAGCCTTTTTTAGCTTCTTGATTACTTTAAGATAAAACTCATGCTAATTCATTATTTAATTGATTATTTAGATTTGTTTATAAAATACAGTACATTTGCTACTGAAGGACTTTTTTTGTAGTTTACACCTTAACTTTGTGTTCGATTCTCTTTTAGCAGTGTATGTGTTTCTGTGGGTCCCTCTATGGCAGGGTTCTTCAAATATGGACCTCGATTCCAAATGCAGGCCTTGTTTTCAGTTCTCCCAGGTAGTTAGTTTAATAATTACTGATTCTGATTGGTCAGAGTCTTCACACCTGACTAACAGGTAAAGGAAGGCTGGAAAACCAGCAGTGCTTGGACCTCGAGGACCGTGATTTGAATAACCCTGCTTTATGGGATGGCATAGGGCTGCCCATTGGGAGACTGATGCCTGTGCAAGCCTATAGCAGTTTGGCTCATGTGCCAGTGCACAGGAAGGCCCGCCCCTTTCCCAGGAGCCACACCTTCTTGAGAGAATAAGATAGGAAGTGCACCTAACGGAAACATCAAGTTTTCAATTAATAAGTGGTTCCCAACTGATGTAGCTTTGAGCCTCATGAATGGGGGGCTCAGTAACATTCGTCAATCCAGCAGTTTGTGGGGGCGTCATTTGTAGAGCAGAAACGTCACTAAGAACATTTCTTTGAAATGATTTTTTCCCCACACACTCTGCGACCGACTGGAAATGGTCTTTTGACCTACATTTGGGTCACAACCCCCCCCCTCCCCCCCAGTTGAGAGACAGCTCTGCTAAGTATGTTGCCGATATGAACGTGTGGTGAAAATGGAGCGATGTCAGGGCCACCAGGTGCAGAAGGCAGATTTAATGAAGGGAGGATGAGGAGAGAGGAGCCGCTTGGTCCTCACACACACGGAAACCGCCGATGGCTTAACAGCATTAAGAGTGAAGACCTCAGTAATCATGCAGGCTGGATGTCATCGTCACCACACTCTAACGGAGACCTCAGTAATGCAGGCTGGATGTCATCGTCACCACACTAACGGAGACCTCAGTCTCTGTGTACCACACTAATACACATCTTAGGTATTTAGCTATTGCTGGTACAGAGGAAAAAGACTACAGCTCTGTGGTGGTGACAGCATGTGTGTCGTGACCCTGGGAGGTCATCGTACATCCGCATCTGTCAGCAGGAAAAATATGGTACCATGGGAATTTCATTGGTGTTATGTTTTATGATTATACCATGAAATCTTCATTTATTTATTTTAGTTTTCTTATTTCACTGATGAGCTATGAGGACTCTGAGGTCTGCTACAGTCCCAGAAATTTAAATATTTGTCCCTCGGTAAAGATGTCATAAAACATTTGTCCATGGTCAGCTGTGTTTAATTTGGATATATTCTATGCAATTATCATTAAATAAGGAATATCTTTGTTTTCTATCCCCTACAAACTATGTACTTAATGTTGAAGAATATATTTTAATAAAGTGTGTGGATATACGTGTTTCTATGTGTAAATTCTTTGACGGTCCACTGTTTCAAATAAAGCTGTGATATTTGTTGGTTTTTGTGATTATTTTGAGACCCAGGAAACTAAAAACAGTGTACATGAGACTAACACCAAAATGTTTTATGTGGAAGTTGCTAAGGACACATTTCCAACAAAGTGCTTTTTTTCACTGAAACATGTATAACCAACAGAAATAATAAGTCCGTAATTGTTATTGCAGCATTTGATTGTCCACACATTATTACAGTCAAAGAACCCAGATCATTAGACACAATCAATGTTAGGGTCAAAGGAAGTGACTGTAGCCAAGCTTTTCATGCACAGGTCTTTCACACTCTGCTGCGATCAGCTGTGAAAATCAAACTCATCTCCTTCAGCCAGTTAACTGCTAGACAGTCATTTATGGCAGCAGCTGAGCTGAGGCAGAACAGTTATAGGTAAATGCTCCTTGCCATGACACTTGCTGTCTTGCTAATGTTGTACCCCATCCCCGCCCCCACCACCCACTTTCAGATAATGGAATATGAATGAATACCATTACTGTCATTGCACAAGGTACAATGAAACGGGAAGACTATCCCTGTCGGTGCAGGAAAGAAAGTACAGGAAGGATACAAACTACAGAAAAAAAATAAGATAGAATATAATATAAACAGAAAACAATATAAATAAGTAAATAGAGTGTAATATTGAATATAAAAGGAGTGTAAAGAGTAAAAAATGTAAACAATGTAAAAATAAATAGAAAAAAATGACAAAAAGTAGGTGTTTAAATAAAATAAGTGTTATGTTATCGGTATTCCTCTCCGTTTGATTCAGTTTCACAGTAAATATGAAAATATTGCACATGTTAATGGATAGTAATGGGCAAGATGGATGGATGATTATTAGTTATTCAAGAAGCTGACAAGGAACAAGAAGCATATTTGGAAACAAGCAAAATGTCCCATGATTACTACAGAGAACAGGGCATGAATCTTAGTTTTAATAACCCTGCAGCTACGTTGAATGGACGAGTGCAAATGTCAACCTACAGCCAGTCAGCACAGGCCTTTTCTGGAGTGCAGCAACCTATGGGCATTCTTACACCATGAAGAGAAGACTGGTATGTTTCTGTCTGTGTATGTAGGTGTGTGTGTTTGTCTCAGGGCCTACAATGAGCCCCAAAATGCCTTTGTGCAGCTTAAACTATCCAGTTTTCATTCAGAGTCTTCACAGTCCAAAACTGAGGCTTAGGACACATCCGGAGTAGGTACCTCAGTCATGTTATTTACACATCCAACAATAGCCTGCATACTCTGATTTCTGGCTTGTACTTCCTTGAACAAAGATGTGTTGACATGACCTATCATAGAATAGTAAGTTATGCTTATGACGTAGCTTTAATCTCTTATTGAACTGTAGGGCTTAGTTTTGCTTTTTCTCATGGCTGTGAAGTTCATACTCAGTCAGACTACAGTACCTCAAGGTAACATTGCTCGTACTGATTAATGACAGATTAGAGAGCAGTTGAAGAATGCTGAGTTCTTTAACAAATGTAAAATTATTTTTAAATGTATTTGAAATATATAGGAATCAATTTAGCTTTAAACTGCCTTTCAATATCTTGATCACTGCAGGTTTTTCATTATCAGTACTGGGGATCGCTAGCTGACACCTATTGTTGGAGACAGTGGTTATGGTGGTCCCTTTTATTGTGGCATGGGTTTGGGCTCGCTGATCTATGTTTGCTGCTATTTTGAGTAAGCACTTGGCCACATTTAAGCTATCCCTGTTGTGCCAATCGGGTCAGTGGTTTTGCTGTCTGAACGGTTATGTTGTCATCCTGACCGCAGGTAAAGGCCTAATGATCAACTACACATAAGTGCAGGTAGGCGGAGCTTCCAGTGAATGCCGAGATACAAATGTATTGGAGTATTGGAGCAAGAGCCACGCAAGATCTTCCAAATAAAGCAAGAATCTGATAAGACTACTATTCAATAAGCAGAAAGTGCAACATGAAGATTATTCTGGGACTCATTCTAGGAGTGGTATCAGGTTAGTAGAGGTATTCGTGGAACAGATGGGCCTTGAGGGTCTTCAGAAGTTTCTGCAAGTTGGAGAGGGAATCTGATGGTTGGATGTGGTTTGGCAGCTCTATCCACCATCAAGGAACCATGCACAAGAAATGTCTGGAGTGAAACTTCTCGTGTGGCGGAGGGATCTCCAAGCGGCGTTTGTTTGCTGATCATCATATGCGGTCCCTGTCCATAAACGGCTCAGAAAGCCAACACCAAGGACTTGAACTTGATGCAACCAGCTCCATCACAGGACTGACCCTGGACCCACTGGAGGTAGCTTCAGGATAGTGGATGCTGACAAAATTGGGATCATGGGTTGCTCACGGTGTGCAACTCCCTACCCCCAGCCACAACACGCACCAGGACAGCATTCCATCTTTAAAACAGAAAGTACTAGACTCTCACTACGCAAGTTTCACATTGACTTGTACGTGCACTTTATGTATCTTACTGCTATATGCAAAACATTTTCCTGCTGGGATCAATATAGTATTTTCTTATCTCTTCTTAAACTATATTTTATCTCTTTTTTTCTTTATATAACTCAACATGGAAATGGCAGTTCTCATGTACAGCATCAAAATTAATGCCCTAAGATGTTATTGAATCTGTAAATTTTGAGGCCCTCAGCTTTCACCATGACTCAGAGCTGGAATCCTAGCACTATATTAAGATACAGTTAGTGCTCCTGTGTTCTTTTTCCATTATTTCATCTTCCTTCTGCTAAGAAAGGTTGTGTGTGTTCGACATGGAAATACAGGTGGTGGGCCGGAGAAGATATGGGACTGAGTGGAACCCCAAAGTGGAACCTCGACGTGGAACCCCAAAGTGGAGTCCCAAGGTTCCTCATCAGAGTTTAGTTCACAGCAGCAGTGCTCATAAACATAAACTTAACCATTTCACCATAGATTTTGTTTAATATGAATACAATTTAATATCCATAATCATCACATAAAAGTCATCTATAATAAATATTCAGAAAATTTCATTCTTTTCATGAAAAGGCATGGAATAAATAACTTTTCAAAGTAGTACAAAAAAAATGATAAAAACAGATCTCACTCCACCAAATTGGTGAGAGCACTACTGGCCAACACCCATGTGCCCCCCAGGCAAGCTTCACCACTGGGACCCCCAATCCGAGACAAAGTGAAATCTGTTGACTTGCTGCCCCCATCGGAAGATGGTGCCCAAGGTGTCTGTCCGTGTCCCATGATGGGGTGACCGGCACTAGGGGAGAGGTGTCTTGTCTTCTTGATTCAATCAACATCCTCCCGTCAACAATCAAGTAGTTGCTGGCATTTAATGTCGGCTCGACGGCTAATTTTAGGCACTTCCTGCTAGGCTTCTGTACCGGGCGTGGGTGCAACTGCGAGCGCCTGGAAATGTGGCGCTGTGGTTCTGCTGAGCTCAGGGAAAAGTTATTGCTCAGATTTCTGAGAGTCTGCAGCTCTCTGATCAGCTGATGGATCTATGCTCTGCTACACACAGGTCCAAGTGTCCCTCTGCCCTCACTGTCCATGGATGTAGTCCCACGTTTGACTGCTGACAATCCCAGCACACATTTTTTTTTCCCCATTTGCCTAATTTTGCTCGCAGACAGACAAGTTATACAATATTATGTTAGACATGCACAGTATTAATGTTACAATTAAAGAAAACCAAAGAAAAATCTATCTGGTGTACAAATAATATACATATGTGTTTTAGGCATATGCACGCACACTGTATGAGTTTAACATAAAACAAAATCTGCCTAGAAATCCAGTATTTTAAAATTTGATCTCTCCTGTTAATATAAATTGTAGTGCCTATAGAAAAATAATATGTAAATAAAATGCAAAAATAAATGTTAAAATAGGTGAGGAATTGTTAGCTTTGGTCGAGACGCGCGCGTCGTTATTGTGAAGGCAAATCAGGGTGTTTTGCAGTTTTGTCTGCTGACCTGCTTTCATGTTCTCACCTCTACTTTGAACTTTCAGGTTGTTTCATTCTCTTGTTTAGCAGGTGCTTTCATCCAAAGCCATGTACATTTTCAAGAAAGCGGAGCCACACAGTCCCCGGAGCAGCTGGTGATTAAGGGCCCTGCTCACAGACCCAACGGTGACGTCAGTCCAACAACCCTGGGATTTAAACTGCCGATTTTCCAATCACAGACACAGTCCTAACCCACCCAGCCAGACATATTGTCTCCTGAATGTCTGTCTGTTCCCGATTCATTAAATTAATTAAATATAGATTTTTGCAACTCTATGTTCTTGGAGATCAAAGTAAAAAGGAGCCCTCTCAGGTATTTTTATAGGGGAAGTGAAGTTTTACACCATAAATAATCCAAAGGTGGTCGCTGTCTCTTCAAAGTTCAGTAGGTTTATGTCAGTCACATTTACATAAAGCTCCATCCCTTCCTCGAGCTGAAACGTGCCACCCTGGAACGAGGTGCATGCTTCACCGGCGTTCTTCATCGTGCAGAAGGCCTTGAGCAGAACGTCTTCCGTTTTTTTCCCAGCGGCGGTGGCTTGACGCATGACGGTTTGGACCAGCGGGATTTTTGGGTGCCACCCGGAGAAAGTCACCTGGGAGTAGATGTAGTAGTGTCCTTTGAAGCGGATCCGCAGCGTTCTGGGTGTGATCAGGTAGTCCACATTCATCAGCAGCGAGTGTTCCTGGTACCACTGCAAGACCTTTGTAGCTGATAAGGAGAACGGGCTATTAGTGTATGGAGGGCCGGGCAAAGCCCACGTGGAGCCATAAGCGAGCTTCACGCCCCCCACCAATTTCAGTTTGCCTCTTGCAGTGCACCTCCCGCCCCCCAGAAGACAGGTTGACCAGCACTGAGTGTAGCTTAAGACATTTCAAGTGTGTGTGTGGGAGGGGGGAGAGGGCTGAAGCCACAGTGCCTTTGTCACATCTGCATAAACCTACAGCCGTACATGTGGACTAACACATAACTCATTCGGATCTTAAGCCTGTTCTCACCATGTGACTGTATCAGAAAGTCAATTAATCAGAATGGAAAACCTGTGTCCATTTCCACTGGAATACAGCCACACTGATGGGGGATTACAATGTATTTCAAAGGCAGCTATCAAAGTTAGCTAAAGTTTTGCTAAAAGAGCATTTTTTTTTTGGATATGTTTAATGTCCTTTAAAGAAAGTATTTTCACATGTGAGTGGGTGAGGATGTTCAGATAAGCTTGGTGTTGGGCACAGGTTAGCAGTTTTTGGATTATGACAGGATTCTTCAGCTTTTATGTCTCTTGACGTACGGTACAGGAAGTACTGACACATAAATGCAGCCCAATCTGGAACAGGAGGACACACTCACATGTCACCTGGCTGCGGTCTGGCTTGACCAGCATGTGTGCCATGGCGCCAGGTTTGCGGATGGGGGTGTCACCCAACCGTAGACCCACTTAGGAGAGAACAAAAGAAGACAAATGAGGGCCATGACCATCAGGACTAGTGGTTACAGAGTCAAAAACTCCTGGTACTGAAATTAGCTTGAAATAACAGGCTTATACTACATACCACTTCCTTCTGCTTGTGATATCTACAGGGAAAAAATGAAACAAGGCCAAAATTAACAATAAGTGAATTTTGTGTGCTAAAATGTTTTCCACGCTAATTTCGTGATAAATGTCCCGGACAATTGTAATGTAGCAGTACAGTTTTGTTCAATACAAGGACATCTCTTATTGTGGTGGGCGTTTTAGCAGAACAGTGTTTTATGTAGCTTGAGTTTTTAGTTGAGTATTTTTTAAATGCATTTTATGATAAATTATTTCAGCTAACCGTACACTCCAGGTATGAATGTTTTGCTGATTGGAGAAACATTTAATAAGTGGCCCAACAGATCCGCCCTGTTCCACATCATTGCTGATATGTTTCAGGCAGAGACTGCAGGCTTATTAATAAATTGAATTACATATTGAAATCTGTCATTAACAGTGGCTTAAACTATTTACTGCATATGTTCAAGTACTTTTCATTTTTAAACCAACACACTCTGTTTTGTCTGCAGGGGCAGATTATCTTATCTAGGTGCCCTAGGCCGACATTAGCATGGACACTCAGGTGTTGCAGATTTAACTGACCGTTACATTTTTGCCGAAGTGGGGCCTATTTTTGCCAGTGACCCAGACTATAACCAAGGACAGCCTAGGCATTACCCCTGAGTTTATGTTTAATTAAAAGAAATATTAAGCAAACCTGTGTACCTTTAATAAAATGTTCTTATACTTGTCCAGAATCTTTTTACAGTCCAGGAGTGTGCTATATTCCAAGCTTCTGTCATCGCATTCCTGTAACCTCCTCAGCACGATTAGGTCATCGTGGAACTGGCTTTCAAACTCGCGCTGGAGCTGAAGGAACACAGAAAATAACCACATCGTGTTTGCCCTCGCTTGTATGCACATAATTGAGTATAGAAATGCATTTGCACAGAGTGACTCACGGAGCTAAAAGATGATTTTGACTGTGCAGCTTCATGTTTCAGTGAGAAATCGGCGTTACAGGCGACTATAGGCCACCGTTTAGTCAGAGGGCTGCTTTGGCAACCCTGTAGTATTTTATCCATTGTTCCACTTGAACTTTGGACACCAAGAACCTCAGCATGCATTTGGCAGCATTTATGAGCATATTTGTGGCTGTGATATGTATAGAGAAACATTCTGGAAGATTAAAACAACTGTTTGTCGCTACTGTCTTTCAGTAAATCAAGTGTGATATAAGGTAGCCTGGTGAGAAAACTGTTTATGCTTGAGTTTGGCTTTCTGAGGAAGTGTAGCTGTATAATGCAAACTGAGAAAAAAAAACCACACAACCAGCACACAAACCACTATGATATCTACTGCATGCAGCCTTTTATTAAAGTCAATTTAGCACTTACTGTAATTTCTGAGAACAATGCATTTAGTCTCCATACTCCAGAGCTCCGTCAGCCATTATAATTAACATTTAAGGATTCCGCATTTATCACATTATTAGAAAAAATACAGTTCAACAGAAACATCAGAACTATATGTAAATAAATCTGAAGTTTTCCTCTTGTTACAGTGACAGTAACAGAAACCCATCGACCCCCTAAAGGGGAAACAGATGGAGGGAAAAAATGGGAGGAGAGGAAATAATGAGTCCTTTTGCGACTTTTTCAAAACTTTCGTCCCAAAAAACATCTTCATGCGCAAATACCAGTTATTAATAGTAATAGTATTAATAGTATTAATAGTTATTAATGGTAATGCAAGTTTTGCATGATCTTGCAAAACTTTTCTTTATTCTCCAATTTTTTTTTCTCCTGTGTCTCTTTAGGGGCTCTGTAGAGACCATCCACATGCACTAGCAAAACAATTGTTTGCCTGTGGTTTTTTAACCACACAGTTAAAAAAAATGTTAAAAAACCTAAAATTAATATTACTTGACACTAAAAATAAACCAAACAGATGTATTACAATTCAAAGAATAAAACAAACAATTAATAATAAAAATCCTCTGGTGGGTAAGCTAAGTCTGAACCCTGAGTCCACTGCAGTCACAGTGCAATTTCTAGATGATTAGGCTAGTGAGCAATTTGACACCCTTTGGTGTCTCTTAAAGAGATCTGCAAAAGAGGCATGTCTTTTATTCCTAACCAGTCCTCATGTGAGCCAGTGTCTAGCTTGCGGCCCTGGAAACATCCCCAAGGCTCTTACCTCACTGTCTCTTAGGAACAGGTAGACAAAGGTCCCAGCGAATACGATCATCTGCAGTACGAGTACCACCGACAGCAGCCAGAGGTGAACCGGGTGGCGGGTCGGGGCCGGGGCCCTGGAGCTGGTTCGTGGGGGCACCGGCGGTGCGATGAAACTGGTGGTGTAAGTGTTGATCATGCTGGCGAGCGGCAGCTGCAGAGACTGTGCTGTCTGGGCGGCCCATGCGACCGTGTCGGGGCTCAGCTGAGAGCACAGGCGCTGAGAGCACAGGCGCTGAGAGCAGAGGGTAACTTCCTGGGTGCTCTGGTCTTATATGCTCTGTCTCACTCTACGTCACTCTCAACCTGCATCTCTCAGCCAGTCCGTCCCCGTTCCCCATTATCTTACCTTTGCTCAATGCATTTCTCAAAATGAGTCTGTGTATAGACTAGAGGTCACATTCCTGACCCGTGGACATTAATACAACAGCTTCATAAAGACCCAGTTTTCTGAAACTTGAGTAGACAGTAAGCAATCAGTACATAATCAATAACTAACAATCAACTGGTTATTGGAGCACAACGGCAGAATTGATTACATCCTGGGGCACATATTAAATGCCAAAGGATAAACTTTGAGGAATTTCACAGCATCGCTGTAGAGCAGGGCTTAGCTGATGAGAACAATGCTGATGATGAGGCAATTCAGAACAACAGAAAACAAAGAGGATGAAGCCAAACCACAATCCGGCTATAAATATTGGCAATGCACAGCAAAGCAGCCTCACGAAACAGTGCAAACGGATGGTAAAAGACAAGACCAAAGCACAGATCACAGCTCTAATCGGGGTCTCTGTGACTGTTTTCCTCACCAAGAGATGCGATATTTCAGATGATAAAGGGGCTAATCTGTGACCAGAACCATCGAGGTCTTGCTGCAAGCACAGAGCTAATTATAAAAAAATATCAATAGCAAAATATACTTCTGCACACCAAGGCTACAGCTGTGCACCATACAGTCAATTTTATTTCAATGTTTCCTAAAGCCTTATATACTATAACAGGTTTTATCAGGGTATGTGATCTGTTCGCACGATCAGAGTCAGCACATACACACACACACACACTCGAGCAGGCAGAGTACAGAGCTACAGTGCTGTGTGGTTTGAGCTGATGTTGTTCCAGACAACACACACACACACACACATACCTATATTTAGACATTTGACATTGTTCTCTTGCCGGAAACATGGTAATATGTTGCAGTCTCTAGTGAATATTTCTGTAACTATTTCTTAACTGTGATGGTGTACATTTATACATTGAAGTGGTATATTTGTGAACACTTTCTATCTATTAGAAAGGCATTGGCTTTTGGAATGGTTTGAGCATTTCTTGATAACTAACTGAGGCTACAAGTCTTTCCCACAATCAAACATGATCTGATACCACACACACACACACACACACACACGCACACTCATTTACACTATTTATTATTTAGTTACTATTTATTATTTTATTGCTACCATGTCTACAGTTACTTTTATTTATTTTTTATTGCTTCATCATTGCACAGCCAAACTGCCCCTTATCAGCATAGGGTTTACTGTGCTATTTGCACTCGTCTGTGTCAGTTGTCCTGTCTTTTTGCACTGTCCTGGAATGTTTGCACAGTTTTTGCACACTATGCACGGCTGTTATGTGTTAGTCTTGTGTTAATTTATGTAGCACCTTGGTCTGAGAGAAACACAGTTTCCTTCTTAACTGTGTACTGTACTGAGCTGTGTGTGGTTAAAAATGACACTGAAGATCTACTTGACTTGATTCGACTTGATGCATGGCACGAAAATGCAGGCGGCCCCATCTGTGGACAAACAACAGCAGGCATGTAAAGGCATGGCAAATATTTATATGAACAACAATAGCAATCACGTCATCACTTAAGGTTTCGCTTAATTTTTCACACAAGGAATGTGTAGAGAGACATAACTTAAAACTAACTTAAATATTCAGCTTTTTGTCATACGTTTCATTAACTGTTTCAGGATCAGAAGACTTTCTTGAAATTGAAGTAAGTCACTGTGGCAAAGTCTTAAAAGGTAAAAGGGAACAAATCTTTATGATGACTTTATAAATATTTTACAAGATTAAAATGCTTGGAGCAGCACGGCAAAACACCAGACAGGAATTAATAATAACTTCACCCTGTACTTACACTGTATTAATCCAGTCTACATTATGTTAAATCTGGTAGTTCATCACTACTAAAACATCCTTTCTATACTCAAAGCACACGTATAAGTACAGATACTCCCCGGGAGTAAGTTACACCTTTTCAACTTGACAATGGGCAAATCCTTTTCATTTTCAGTACATTATTCAATTAATTATATTTGACGTTTTATTATGAAATAGGCCTTGTGTTAATGATTTTGCCCAAAAGTAGGCTAATGTATGTGTTCTAAGTATGTTTTTAAGGTAGACTAGGCTAGGCTATGATGTTTCTTAAGTTAGATGTACTGTATTAAAATGCATTTACGCCTTATGATATTTTCACCTTACGATAGGTTAATCAGAACGTAGCCCTATCGTAACACTGGGAAAGGCTGTACATTTATTTTAAAAGCATCACAATGGATTCATAAATAAGAAATTTTCAATACAAATTTGTTTAATTTAGTTCATAGCTCCTACAGTTGTACCAGATAAGGTCCTTCTCAATGCATTTTGCTTTAATTTCTTTGTGGTTCTTGTCTCAAACCAAACCCTGTATCAAGCCATAAACACAAATAGATGTTATGAGCCAGAAAGTGCTTTGGAATTTAAAGCCTTGCTTCAGATTTAATGTGCTGACTGCAAGATTTTCATTAGCAGCAGTGGCTAAACCCTAGCATGGCTCAAACTCAGGTGTGAGAATGATTCAGCTGCTGCTTCCTGCTGACCTTTACGATTCGAGACTTGTTTTTTGTTTCTGTCCATGTATGCCGTACGCTGGATTAAAGTAATACTGCCTTGTGCGTGAATAACTTTTAATACAAACAATGACTAATACACAGTAGCAGTCCGCATTGTTTCAAAATGAACGAGAAACAGAAGCAATCCTGGTGCAAGGCTGTAGGTGGATGTAAGACTTACACCCACAAACACATTCTGTCGTCTTCTGTTCTTCTAAACCTCCTATCTGTAGACCACTGAAATTCATTTGCATTATGAAAAACCCGGAGGTTTTTTCTGTCTTGCAGTTGTTGCAGCACTAATTACAGTGAGAACACTCGCAAGGTATGATAATCAAATAATCTACCGCTAGAGGAAATGGAAGGTGAAAGTCATGTCCCCATTTTGGAATTTTATCACCTATTACTGATGCTTTTCCTTCTCTCGTTTCTCATTCAGCTCCAAAAAAAACTCAGTTGGTCTTTTGGTGGGGTGGCGGTCAAAGGCATATCAGCCTAGGACCCCCAGAAGCACAGTCAGGGTTCTTCTCTCAAGAACTCATAGTTACACTGAAGAAATGTCCTGTCTCCCAGGAAAAACATGCTGTGGATCATTAAGACAGGCAAACCCCTCAACCACAATAAGATCATAGTCCTGCTGACATTACACAGGTAAGAATCTAGTGTTTGGGTGTGTACTGCTATCACCATCAGAAGATCACCCGGGGGTCCACTGTCCATTCAGCCTTCTGTGGATCAGTCTTCCATCATCTTCAGGACTAATTCAGTCCTGTCTTCAGTTTCCTATATCCATGGCATGAGCACAGTGGATGTCCATCCATTTCACACAATGCAGGTGACGTCTGTCCGGAGTCAGATGGAGCAGTTCCTGGAGCAGTTGTTTGCTCTGGGGTGCCACAGCAAAGGTAATCTGCCAAGCACAGGATCTGAACCAGCAAACTAACCCACTGAGCCACACACACCCCAGATACTAATATGTGGCCAACAAAGATAAAGAAAACACTGCAGCATGTGCCCTTGCACCAGCAGCCTTATTTATTAAAATAATAGGTCTTCTGCTAGGCTTTGAGTTCTGTGATTGAGGGGGCATCACTCAAATTCACTGGCAGACCATTCCAGAGAACAGGGCAGTGTTTTGTTCAAATCTGAGTCAATACAATGTCTTTAACAACCTGAGTCTGTGTCATGACCGAGTCCAACAGGAGGGCGAGTCCAAGGTGAGACTGAGTCCATTACCAGAGCTAAATAGCCAAGTCCATTACCGAGTCCATTACTAGAACTGTATAGTCAAGTCTGAGTCCAGGTCCATTACCAGAACTTGGTAGCAGAGTCTAAGTCCATTATCAGGGCTGGGTAGCAGAGTCTGAGTCCATTATCAGAACTTGGTAGCAGAGTCTGAGTCCATTATCAGGGCTGGGTAGCCAAGTCCAAGTCCATTACCAGAGCTGGATAGCCGAGTCCGCGTTTCTTACTGAAGCTGGGTAGCCGAGTCTGAGTCCATTACCGGAGTTGAGTAGCCAACCCCAAGTCTATTACCAGAGCCAAGTCAAGTCTGGCTCTGATTCTGGACAAACACAAGTTCAAATCTTGACCATAAATTTGAATTCAAAAACTATAAATTTTAGACTAAACTGTCACTGCATCTATTGTCACTTTAATTAATTGCTTTAACAAACTTTTTATCACAAAATGTGCAGAAAACCGAGGTTCTGTTGTTTGGAGTCAAGTCCACAGATAGGAATGTTCACAATCTCCACACTGCACTCCAAGGGGCTGAAGTTCTCCTTCAGCAGCTCAGCCTCTAACCCATGCCTTTGTATATGGTAGGTTAGACTATTGTAATGCTCTGTTATCTGGGAGCACACACTGCACATTAAACACCTTGCAGCGTATTCAAAATGCAGCAGCTCGAATTCTCACCAGGAGCAGGAAGTCTGAACACATAACCCCTGTTCTTAGCTCCCTGCATTGGCTTCCTGTTAGGTTTAGAGCTGACTTCAAAGTTCTCCTCCTTACATATAAGACATTTAAAGGTCTAGCTCCTGCCTAACTGACAGAATCACTTCAAGTTTACAAGCCGCATCGTTCACTCAGATCACAGAATGCAGGTTTCCTTGTCGTTCCACATATAAAGCATCCTGCTACAGGGCCCTTATATTGTGGAATGGTTTGCCAGCTTATAATTCGCGATGCCGATTTGGTCTCAGTCTTTAAATCTCAACTGATGACCTACTTCTTCAGTTTAGCTTTACTCGCCACTTAACAAATAACACACTGTAACCACGGCTGCTGAAGCTGCTGTACATGCCAATTCTATCTATTATGCTTGTCCATT